ATAAATTACGATTAGAAAGACTCCAGAACAGATTTGTAAGGTTCTTGCATTTCAAAATAACGAAGACTTTATGTAACACTTGGCATTAGCGAAATTCGATTTCACTACAAAATACAGCTTCTAGAACAACGAAGGATAATAACCGACTTAGTTTTTATTTATGAAATTATAACAAACTGTTATGACTCACCCAATCTAGTATCAATGATTTTTTATCACGTTCCTCATAGGAACACTAGAAACAGAAAATTACTTGCCAGTCCGAATTTCAGCACAAATTTGGGCAAAAACTTCCCAATTACTAGAATGTGTGATTCTTTCAACAAATATTGTAGTAATGTAAATGTTTATTTCTCTATTACGTTGAATTCCTTTAAAATAACGATGAAAAGAATACTCAACACATAGCAAAAATTATTGCTTGGTATGTACGAAATTTATTAATTCATTCATTTTTATTTTTTCTTGTATCTGTTGACACCGTGTATCTCTGTAACCACTGCTATCAGTGGATGCTTCTATGGGTATTTACCTGTTTGTATCCCAAATTTTGAATAAATAAATAAATAAATAAATAAATAAAACCTGACCAAGCCAAGTTGTAGTGGAACTAAAAAAGTTGTACGTACTTTAAGTCCAACTAGCTATCGAAAGAATGATAAATGAAAAAATTCTAGCTTATTCAGTTTATTCGCCGATGATGTGAATTTAACAGAGCTGAAACCAGGTATTTTGTTAAAAATATCTTCGTTCAGGCACCCGAAATTGTTCAACTGCTGCCGGATATTTTGAAAATTGAACCCTCAAAAAATTCAAAAAAACATTTGGAAATGTTCTTTACAGAAATAGAAAGTAAAGTACGTAAAATTATAGAAATGTTGAATACTTTCATTTATACAAAGATTGTACTTTCAGATGTCCATTGTGTTTATTTTATATTTAGTGTATTTTATTCAGTGACTCTTAATTGCATTAATTTATTTTAGTGTTTTTATTTATACAAAAACTGTGAATATAAAATATTTTTTCTATTCTATTTCATATCTGCATCCGAATATTGTCATAATTGTTCCGTTATATTATTATTTACTGATGATTGAGAAAAAATGTTGGAGATACGGTTTGAAATTGTTTGCAACAGATTTTAGTTACAGAGTTTAGTTTCGGTAACAAGCGAGAAACATAAAAACAAATATCTTAAAAGTCTATGATGAAATCGACTCCAAATATTAAATAATTACTAGTCTACTATTAATTGGCTATGTGTACATTGTGTACATATCAACACTGTAAGTTAGGTTAGGTTAGTCGACTTGAACTTACTGATGTTATTTTTTGCCTAAAACCACTGCAAAATTCAAATATTTTGAATACATGATAAAACATTCATATTTTATAACCTACCACCACAAATGCTATTGCGTATATAATTTATCAAAAATGAATTAATGGTGTCAATGCCTTCTAGATTCGATTTGGTGTAATGAAAACAAATGATAACATTCGTTTCAAAGTTTTTCAAGTGCAAAACCGCTACCAGATAAAAGCTGAGTGAAAAACATCAACTGTTAAATCCAGATAGTGGACAAAGTTCCAAAAATATTCCTGATAATTATACGAGTACTACTTAATCACACGAATATCTGAAGAATTGAAAAAAGGAACGCCTCAAATGATATTTCTCTTCCTTAGAACTATAAATTTTAATTGAATGAAAATAATCCAAAAGATCAATGTCAACTACTACGATAAAGGTGTGCACATAAAACTTGTTTTGATTCACACCATCCATGGGAGAATTATTCTTTGAATATATAAAATATGGTAACATTCGCTAGTATTGATAAATATGAAATTACTAACTTTAAAAGAGTGTTTTAGGGTCATACAGTTTGAAATATCAACAATTTGATACGTACAATTGGAACTTCTAGGGTGAATTGAGTTTTTCACTTTGCCCACACCAGTTTTTCTCCGTGCGTTTCGCTACCCATCATCATCAGTATTTTCGTTCTTCTTCATTTTGCCGTTATTTCAACAAAATAAAGTTCCTAGCCTGAACTCTCAACTTTTTTAACGTTTCATAGAATTCATGTAAGAAATTTTTAGGACAAACTAAGCTCAAAACATTTTCTATTTCCAAATCGAGACATAAAAATCACAGTTTAAAAAAATGACTCAAAGCAAAAGTGGATTTTTCTAATGACGCAATTTTTTTCAACGAATAACGATATTCTCATCAATTCTCATAAATTAAAGCAAAAGTGAATAAATATTAAAGTGATAAGATAATCATAGCATAGTAAATGCAAGATCAGATTTTCCAAGAACTGCTGTACATAATATTCCCCAAGATTTGTAGGTATACTTGAAAAATTCCAAAGACATTACAAAATATTTTTCCAAAAATAACTTTGACCAATAATATGGAATAAAATGACAATTAGGAGATATTTAAGAGATTTAAGTCCCGAAATATAAGAAATAAAAAGTAAACAAACCTTAATTTTATATCGCACTTACAAACATTTTTTGTCGACTGTTCTTGAAAAATGATTCAGGCAGATCCAAGTACATTCTAAGTCTCAATAATACAATCAAAGGCGAAAATAAGCCACTTTCAACACAAATATGAACGGTATCATGCTCTAACGTATAAGTGAATGTTAAAAATCCGAATATCCGATGATAAAAATAGTGATGCAAAAACAAAACGGGTTAGAAAAGCTAAAAAATCCTTATACAAGGCTATGCTAGCATAGATACCTCCTCTTATCTATAAAATCAACAAAAAACTTAAACTGTGCTTGTCTCTGACAATTAAAGGTCCAAATCTACAGATTTCACTACAGGTAACTAGTTTCAATCAGAAAAGAAACAAACCATCGCATTGAGGTCTTCCTGAATCTTTGAGCAACCACTACTCGTCGTTACTTTTCTGAAGAATGCTTTAAAATAAGGAAGATTCTGCAAATTTTTATTTACAATATGTGGCAAGCGGTTTTTCATACCCTGTATATCACAGGTAGATTTCAGATATATCGTTTGAGAGAGTTACCAATGTAGAATATTTGACCAGAAAAACAATTCAATTGGACTTGGCACAACTTTATAATTTCAAATATTCTTGTGAATGCTTGAAGCAGTCTTTCAAATCGTTTATAAATACTAGAAACATTAACGGACCCAGATGAGGACTTTGAGGGACTCCCGAGGTTACCACAAATGGAGCAGATCTGTATCCATTTACGCATTAATAAGTCTTTCAAACGATAAAAAAATTGGATATGTCATACAGGGTGTTCCTTAAACACACGCTAATATTCAAAGAGGTAATTCTTAGACCCATTATAAGAAAAAAACTTCCCATGGACGTATGTCCTAAACGTCTTAACTTTTGAGATACAGGGTGGCAAAGTTTTCAAAAATAATCAGTTTTTTAATAATAACTGAGATCATTTTGTAGACATCTTTGTCATATTTGGTACATATGTTCCATGTCTCAAAGCGCATTTTCTGATGTACACAAATTTGTATTTTTTCAAACAGTAGCATCCCTACGGGTTTCGCATTGAATATTTTTGGGGAAAAAGTACTACGCCAATGCTTTCTTTTCAAAATAAAATCATTTTTAAAATCCTCATTTATTTTTGAGAAAATTTGATCTCCTGGTATTTCTTTGTCCGACGCATGATTTTCACTCAAAAAAATAAAAATCGACAGAAAGCAAATTAAGAAATTAGATCAATTCTAAAATGAATGAGAATCTGAAAATTGCTTCATAACGCATTACCAATTCCCTAATAATATTTGAAAACATAATCTGCAAAAAAATAAAT